AGGAAGAAGTGCTCCAAACTGTTGATGTTTGATCAAAAGCCCCCAATTTACAAGAATTCATGTAAACCTATATTTACACAATTTTTTTTTTTATGTTTCAAGAAATAGCCTACCATCTAGTTGATGCTACCAAAGTGTTTTTCCTAGTTCAGCCTTAACAGATGAAAATAATTTCTCTTCAAAAGACAGAATGTATAATGTGTATGATAAAGCATAAGTTTGAAACATGAACTGTCAACTATGTGCTACAAGCATGAAACTTGTTAAGCAAATAAATACTAGAAAGCATCATTTCCAAAAATGTCTTTATTTTTTTATAACTTAAAAATAATAATAATGCTGAGAGGTATAATACTCTTACCTTCCTTCACTAAATTTCCAGATTATATGCTTCCCTTATACATTTGAAAAGTATCTTCACAGATACTCTAGAGGTACATTAATGGTATTTGATTCAGAAAGGTTTACACAAATGCACACTAATACACAGACAAGCTTTTAAGAAGGGTGTTCCCCAAGTGCTATGGTTAAATATAGTATTTGTGATATCTTTAATGTTATTTCAGAACGCATAGGAATTAGAACAAAATCAATGCCATGATTGCCATTAACACATGGACTTTCACTAGAATCTTAGAAGTCTTGATCAGTGACTTAGAATAGTCTACATTGCTAATTCATTTTTAATAGTCTTCAGCATTTTAGAAAATTTGTACTTTCCTGAAAAAAAAAAAACAACAAACAGGGAAGGCAAGTTTTATAACATCTGGCATAACACTGAATATGATCCCCTTAGTTTTTATCCTTAGAAGTCAACCACATCCCACCTCCTCTTTTTAAAAATAGGGTTTTCAGAGAACAATGAGGTAGAAGTACTTAAAAAAATTCAAAAATAAAACCATTAAGAGGTTAAAAGCACAGAAACTACCTTTCTACCTGTTTCAAATCAATGACCCATTAAACCCCCCCTTTCATACTTTATAAAATAGCACACTGAGTTCTCTGCTATCTCCAAACCTAAGAGTTTCAGCTTAGACAGATTGAACAGAACACTGATGCACAACATTCAGTTGTTTGAGTTAGTCACCAGTGCTCTGATGAATGAAGGGTATAAAAATATCTAAAAACAGATGTAGGTACCTAGTAACTCCTTGCAAAGTTGTTAAAAGTCGGTGTTATTTAGACTGATGATCTAAGAGAGGATTATTTTGACACCACTACCTTTAAACAACAGACGAGGGTCCTCTAGACAGTACCCACTGCAAAAACCACACCTTCAGCCATTCAGTATTCCAGAACAGATTAGCCAGAGGTATAACTCAAAAGATTAAGCAAGATTGTCACATACCACAAAGCATTTGAAACATAACGTTTGATTTTTTTTAAGGTAAAGCTTTACACCATTCATATTTCAGTTCTCCTATAACCATGGCAGTCTGCACCAGACAAATAATAGAAACAAGAGTATCAGAATGCTTTTGTCAAGACTATTGCATAAGAAAACAAAAATGTGTTAGTTCTGGACAAATTAAATTAAAATCAGCAAAAAAATATTTATTGAGGTCTTCCTAAAACCTAGAATCTAACAAAACTGTCTTCTTTATTTCCATATGGAATTTTGACTTCCAATCCTTGTTTGATGTAAGACACATGTTCGTTACAGAAAATCAGAATCTAGACCAGGCTGGTTGTATTCATACAACATGAAACATCAAGAGGAAGCAATCTATACTTACTTTCTTCTGCCCAAACAGCAATGTCAGCAGAAAACAAGGAAAAAGTATACTCTTGGATGTATTGTAACCATACCGGTAAAATCACAACCTGTATTCTTTTAGGAAGAAGCCCATTTGCCCCTGTATCCACAAATACACATTTACTGGCAGAACACATAGGCAAGCCTATACTGTTTTCAAACTATCCACTTCATTTAAAGTAACTGTGCACATCCATAAAGTGGCCTACAAATAAATCCTGATCAATTTCTAGTGCAAACCAATTAAAATTAAAAGCCTTTGATTTCCAGTAGCAAACTTGTTATTGGTGCCCAGATTAAAAAAAAATACCTTCTAAACAGGGGGGAAAAAAAAAAAAAACAAAACAAAAACCAAACAAACAAAACTTTCCTCCTTCCAAGTGAAGCATGTTTTCAGGCATGTCAACAGCATTATTAAACAGGAGTCTTGATCATCTACACTATGGACTTTCAATAACATTCAGCCAGGCTAATCAGTCTACCTGCACATAACTCTAGCTTCTCTACCCTCTCTTCCAGTGCTCCCCGGCACCTGTCTATCAAGCACTTTTAGTTCATACACTCAGGCCTAAATATAATTCCGTAAGCCTATTACTCAACACATTCAAAGGCAATAAAGATGTGAAAATAAAGAATTGTTTTCAATTGCACTCACCCACTATTCCATTCCTATTTTTAGATTCCATTTTGACTTGGAAATGAAGCGATGAGTAACAGCAATTCCTATTCCACAAATCTGCCACTGCTTAGCAGCAGCACATCCTGCACTTAAATGAGAAAATACAACTTCCTCCCTCCCCCCTGCCAAAAAATCTCTACTAAATCTTAAAGAGAATACGGAAGCTTTTTACCCCCCTTCGCCTCTCTTTTCATCTCCCTTTTCAATCATTTTAAAGAGCATCTAAGCATGGATCTGCTAAAAAAAAAAAAAAACAAAACAAACACACCCAAAAAAACACCAAAACACACTCAAAAAAAAAAAAAAAAACAAACCACCCCAACAAAACACCCTGAAATGTTCATAGTTAAAAAAATAAATCAGTAATTACGATTCATATCGCCACACTAATCTATATCTGCCTCAGTACATGAAGGTGAATATTGAGACTAACGTGAACATTAAAGCAAAAGATCCACATCCTGGTTTTCCTATAATTTATTGTGCAAAAATCAAATATTAAAGTTTGAAATAGAAAGTGTTAGAGAGGACAAAAGAAATTTTTAATGCAATTCTTCCCAAAGCATTTAACACTGTTCCAGTTAATACACCTGTCTCCTGAAATGCCTGGCCAATTAGTTCCTATTTTCTCACTTTTAGCAACATTTTCTTTCCTTGCTGCTCTATGAAAGCGATGGGAAAGCTTAGTGACTATACAGTTGAAAGCTATAGAAACAATGTGCTGTCAAATAGAGAAATTGAAACAAAAGCTATTTTTCCGTACAGAGGTGCTACAACTTAGAAGAAAGGATGACAAAACCATTGTATACCATTCAACTATAAAAAAGCTAAAACACTAGGTAGAACTGGGTTAGGAGATCTAGTACAAAGTATTTAACATAAAGGCTATTAAAATCCTGCATTTTCCATTAGTCTAGGCCACCCTTTCTGTAAAATACATGTAGTTTACACGAGCAAGACAGATTCACCAGCACAAGACAAGATGTCAATTTGTGCTTAATAGCAATTATATTACTAAAACTACCACTTAATGAAATAGTTCTGTCAAAGTATTTAACCTTTAAATTCTCATGTCAAGATGCTCTATTCAGCAAAACAGATTTAGAAGTGTCCTATCACTCCGACGCCGTTCTTCATTTCACATATTTCTCTCTTCCTTTCCCACACGCTCAGATGTTTCGGCAACATACTTTCAGTATTTGCAAAATCCTGCCCAAAGAGCATGGCCGATTTCCCACGGGCTCCCACCCCACCCTGGATGAACTCGTTACTTCCCAAAGTCCACTCCACTTCCTCTTCCACCCCTGGACCTGCCAGCACTCCCAACGCCCCTCCGCCTTGCGCAACATCCGCAGCCTCCTCCCCACATTTCAGACAATCCCTGATGCGACATTTACATTGAGATTATTTTTTTGTTTTGTTTTCAGACCACTAGCGAAGACTGTCAGTTTAAAGTGCTAGCGACGTGGTTTTAATCCCAAATAGCGCCAGATAATAAAACAAGCTACAAAGATACATGTATACGGAGGTTGCTATCATGCTCATCTTCAGCTCTTCTGTGGGTCAGACTGCATTTTGATATTAAGTATTTAAACCATACTGAAAAGTGTCAGTGACATCTGCCCAATCAAAATTATTGTTCACAGCTCAGACTGTCTATTCAGAAGATAAATCTCTCAAACATATCAACAGCTCAATTAAACAGCTAAAATAAACCAAGAAAAGAGCTGAATTCTTCAATAAATTCTTTCCCTGAGCACACACGTTAACCAAAGGCTGACGGTGAACGGATCTGGAAGGAAGAAAGGACGAGGGATATAGGCAGGGCTGCGATGGGGGATGGGGAGCGAAGGGAGATGTTAGGGAAGGGAAGATGAATATTCTTCCAGGACTATTCAGTGCATTTAACACATCTCCTCGGAAAGAAGAGAAATCTCCAGCAGGCGACTACAGGGGCAGATAAAGGGGGAAAGGAGTGCCCGATTATCCCCAGATGACATTATGCATGGCAACCCCGAGAGAAAAGGGGCTGTAAGAGAGAGGAAGCGCCAACAGCCCTCCCCGAGCCGCCTCTGTCCCCTTTATCTGCTCAGGGAAAAGGGGGGGGGGGGGGGGGGGGGGGGGGGGGGAGGGGGGGGGGAGTAAGGGGGAATGAGGCTTCCGTTTAATTTTGCAACAGCCGATCACCTACCACCTCCTCAGGAGCAGAGATGGGCCAGGGCAGGGGGCTACGGTAACAAACCTTCCCGAGGAGTGGGGGCAAGAAAAGAAGGGTGAATTAAGGTGGCCGCCGTCGTCCGTCCCCCCCCCCCCCCCCGCCTCGCTGAGCTCCAAAAGTGGTGGGGGGCACGGGGGGAGCCGGCCGAGCTGCGGGGCTGCACAATAGCAGGTCGCTCCCAGGGAAGCGATGCTTCCCCCGAGCCCCGCCGTACCCGCAGGGGGATGAAGAAGGGGCTGCGGGGGCAGCCGGCACCCCGGCCCCCCCGGCAGGACACCCCCCCCACCCCGCCCTGAGGGAAGGCAGAAGCCCTGCCCGCCCCCCTCCGCCGCGCCGCCGCCCCTCACCATGAAGTCGCTGGCGAAGTTGTCCTCCCCATTGTGGTCCGTGTCCTTCATGGCCTGGACTCGCTTAATGAATTTCCTCAGGATCTCCTCCTGGCTCATCCTGCCCCGCCGGCCGCCCTGCGGAGCGGCAGCCCCAGCCCCGGCCGCCCGCCCGCTCTCCGTCTCCAGCCCCCTCCGCTGCACCAGCCCGTCACCCGGCTGCCTCCCTGCCTCGCCCCTCCTCTCCCACCCCTCGGGCCTGCCCCGCGGCCTGCTGGAGCGGCTCGGCTCGGCTCGGCTCCCCACCCCGCTCACGGCCGCCCGGCCGCCCGCTCCATCCTCCCCTCCCTCCGCCCGACCCTCCCTGGACGCCACCGCCGACACACAGACACGACGCTGCCCCCACCTCCTCCCCCCGCGCAGGCGCAGCTCCTGCTCCGCCGGCGCTTACCTATGCCCGCCCCCTCCCCGGGAACCGGCCCGCCCCTGCTCCACGTCGATTGGCTCCTTTGACAGCCGCCTCGCCCTATTGGTCGCCGCGCACGCTAATCGCCAGCGAGCCCAACCTTGGGGGAGAAATCGTCGCGCTGTTCGTTCTATTCGTCCCTCCCGTTCCTCGTGGATGGGAACTTCCGAAGGGCGCCGAGTGGAGCTCTGGAAGGGACCACTGGGAAAGTAGGGGGGCGGGGAGGGGAGGCTGAGCGGAGCGAAGCGAAGTGCGGTTTCCTTTGGCTGGAGTACAATGGGGCGGCGGTGGGTGCCTGCAGCTCCGGGGCCGGGAGGCAGCAGCCGCCGCTGCGGCTTGCCGGGACATGTAGTCGCGCCAGCGCCGCGTCCCCTGTACGCGGCGGCCCGCAGCGGGGGAGGGCTGAGGGGCTGGGGCTTGTCGCCTCCTCACGAAGCGTCCCGTAGAAGCGCCCGGAGGAAAAGAGGTTCCCTCCTCGGGGTGGGAAGCCCCGAAGCCGCGGAGAGTGCCCCGGGGTGGGGGGAGGTCCTCGCGGTGGTGGGGACCGAGGCGGGGCGAAGAGCTCCCGGCGGGGCAAGGCTGCGGGGGGCGCCGCTGTGGTAAACACCGGGCGGCGGGAAGATGGCGGGCCGGGTGCCGATTCCTGACCGGCGGCTTCTCCCCGCGCCTATCTTTATCCAGCTGTACTTAATAAAAACGTCCGCACGCGCAAATGAAGCGCGGGAGAGATGCCCGTCGGTGTTTGTAAGGGGCTGCGGCTTGGTTTTCGGTGGCAGTAAACGACACCGCAGGGAGTCCGGTGCTGGGCGTGTTCAACACGTCCTGACAGGAAGAGGGACCCCCCACACACACCCCTCAGCCTTGCATCGGGGTGTCTTGGGCACCTCGGGCCTTCTTACTAGAAAGTACTTGAAAATTTCTTTCTTACCTGATGTCGGATGTTTTGGCAATGTCAAAACATGATGAGCCAGTAAGATAGAGTACTATTTCTGCCTTTTTTTTTTTTTTTTTTAATGGGAAAAAGTTAAACATTAAAACATCTTAATGTTTGGTGTCCTGATTGCATTTGTAATTTCTGCTTCAGTGAAGCAAAATAATTGTAGAGGTGTGTGTATGTATAGCCTTATAGCATAACATACTAAGTAAAGTATTTTATTGGTGAAGGCTACACAGCCTCTATTGATGTAGTTGATCCAATAAAACTTTGCCACACAAACTAATGATAAAGGCCCATGCTAAGAAGCATAGCCCAGTTAAGGCCCTCCTACCAAACTGCTCATTTTCTACTACTCATTTGCACTCACCGTAGTATGTTGTGCTTGCAGTCACACCTGCACAACCGCTTGTTGGATAATACATTGAAGAAGCTCAGGGAACTTATTCAGCTGCAATATAAGCCCATAGAAAAACTGTGTTTTTTCTTCTCAGATGAGTCAATTAAGCAGGCTTTGCTACCGAAACAAACCTACATAAAAGGTTGGTCTTCTTGTGGTGGTGTAAGATAGAACTGTTTTAGATGACCACCAAAGATTACCACCCCTACATCAGAATTAGCAAAATGTTATGTTACCACCCTCGGCCCAATTCAATGCCCGTCAGCTCATCATGTTCCTAGTGAAGGCAGGTTTTGAACTACCACGTAGGACCCTGGACTGTAACTGCTGGTGCATGGACATGTTTGTTTCTCCTGCATCTGCTACAGAAGCAGTCATCGCTGGCAGAGGAGCAGGTTGGAAAATTAAGAGGATTAGCATTCTGACATGGTTTGCTGCAGACTTCAGCTTCTTCTAAAAGGGTTATTTTTTTAGCAGTTGGTGTTCGTGGAGCCTAGCATGCAGCAGACATAAGGACACATCAAGGAGCTGGGAAAGGGCATCTGTTCTTCTGTGCTGAGGTTTATTGAAGTCTGAGCACCCCACACAAGCACATCAGCTCTCAGAGCTCAGTCTCCTCTCCATGTCCTTGGCACCAGTCTCCATAAGTAAGCTAACCAATCAGCCCTGAAGAGCCACAAAGAAGCCTGGTTTTTTTGCTTTAATCCCTCTCTTTCTCTCCTACCTAAAAGCAGCGTTAAAGGGAAATATAGAAGCAAGATAGATAGGTAGGTAGGCAGGCAGACAGATAGGTGAAAGGGCACAGAGATCACCAAGGATAGCCGTGACTTGGATCATCATGTAATCTTTTCATGCCACCTTGCTTGATTTCCGTCTGCTTCAGGAGGGTTGCTTAGTTTGCTCAGCAGTTGCCCTGGCAAACCTGCTCCCAGTGCCAGATGGCATGTAACTTTAGAAAAGTGATACTTGGGACTAAGCAACCAGTTGATGAAGTCTTGAGTGTGATATGGTTTTCTTCACTCCGCTCATTTATTCACAGAACAGAGTTACAGAGGACTTGATTAGGAGAGAAAGAAAGATGATGATTTGTTGCATTTGAATCTCATGTCATTATCACTTCACATTGAAAGGACCCAGTTATCAGTCTGGCCTGGTTCATAGTCTATCACTGCATTGTAATAAACTGCTGTAGACTAGCAAGTGGAACAGTGACCTTTCATTTGGGTAAATTGATCAGAATGATATACAGTCTCAGAAGGAAAAAAAAGCCCCCCAGACCAGACATGTGTCACTAGCCAAAACAAAGGCACATATGAAACAAAGAAACGAGAAATAGCTGGGTGGAGAACTTTGCCTAGCATTGTTTGCATATGCATGCGTACCTGTGAGAGCCGCCAGACAGTCCCGAGCACAAATCCTATAGCAGCAGTTTTATGTCCCCCAGCCCTGCAAATGTTGCACGAGGCTGCGTCATCTCTGCTATGAACACAGAAGCACAAACTTTCAGCAGCAAAAACAGTGCTTTAACCGAGACTTTTGATGTGAAACTCAAACTGTCTGGGTTAAACCCAGACATCTGACCAATCTAGCATGTGTGCATGAGTGTGTATTTGTGTAGCCGTAGGAGAGAGGCGGAAAAAGAGAGATGCAGGGCGAATTACTCACCCTATAGATAGAACAGGAAGTTGCAACCAATATCTGTAGAATAAAATTGTGTTTTAACAATCCATACAAGTATGGTCCTTGGAGAAAAGCAAATAGATCCCCTGCAGCTTCTCTGCTCTTAATCTCATTTTGCCTTGCCGTGCACTACTCCAGCTGCTGCAGGGAAGGAAGACAGCCAGGTTTTTTCTGTTCAAAGGTGGCTTCTCATGTTCCCACAGGTAACCATGTGTTAACTGGTAAATGTGTTTCCCGGCATGCATACCATGGTTATGCTCAGTCAATGGGCAGGAGTACCAAACCTCTTAGTTTACCAAAATTCAGAGGTTTCCCTGAAAACTGAGATGGAGCACAGGCTCACCTCAAAGCTGTTTGGCTGCAATGTCTGTGTGGCTTGGAGCCATGTTCAAAGCCCAGTGCATGTCTACCCAAAACTGTGTTCCAGAAAGAAATCGAAGAAGTGGGGTGGGAAGGAAGGCTGACAACCCTACAGCTCCGAGTAAGGGCATCATCTCCTATGGTTTGAATTCTTCTTCGTCCAGCGAAACAAGACTTTGTGCATTCCCTGTAATTTGGCATGACTCCATTACAATGGTAGCTCACTTCATCACCACTTTCTCCTCCCCTCTGCAATAATCTACAAACTCTTAGATTTTAACTACCTATTTGGAGCAACTTATTAGTTACAGTGGTGTGTACTTATTTACACATTAATGTAATTATAATTAAATTATGATCAATATATCATGCACATGAAATCCCAATTAATTTTTTCTATATTGAGAGTCTGAAAAATGTTTTTGTAAGCAAGATCATTTAGGATAAAAATTAGATGCTAACGTTCATCGATTCTAAAATAACTCTTGAAATGTATTTTAAGTGCAATTGGTTGGAAGTTTTCTAAAAATGCGGTGTTTCAATGGAAAAATGCTGTTTCTGTAAAAATTTTTCCACAGGAAACAATTTTGCCAAAGTTTTTCTGCTTTCTGACAAAAACAATGCGTTGTTATACTTACAGCTGCAGAAATGTCTTTACCATTGAAGACAGTACAACTTGGGATAGGGACCCAGCACATGAAAGAACTGGAGCATGGAATATAAATGCCAGGAAGCTGTGGAGCAGCTCAAGGGTACACATAAAAACTAAGTCCAGATGAAACATTTGTCTTTGATCTGACAAACTGAAATGCAACAAGTCTTTCCACAAATGTCAAAATGTTTCATGCTGGTTGAAAGTAGTTAGATGAAACATTCAGGAATATCAGCATCAAGTACTCCTTCTACACTTTGACCCTCAAAACATTTTGGTATTTAGTCACTTTTGTTTCCGAAGAGGATAAAAATAATCTTACTGGGTTTTCTGGTAGATCCTCAGTTACAATTTGACCACTTATATTGTAAGTAACAAACTAACAAACAGGAATCCCCGTGGGGGCTCAAAATACTCAGTTTGAACACAAAGGACATGGTGGACAATAAATCTGAGGAAGATGCATTGTATCCCTTGTATACGACAAATAAATTGAATTTCTGATTAAAACCTGAAACTAATCTCATTCTAAATGAGTCATAAAGACCTGATCAGTGTCTGTATAATATGTTCCATTCATACTAATTAAATTCCATGTGACCACTGGATTTCTTGACATTTGCCTATTACTCTCAGTTAGGCAACGACAGACTCCTCTTCTATAATTACCACTGAAAATCCTACTACTGCAATTTAATTTTATGTGGCTTGCTTAGCTTTTATTTGTTCACTTACCATCTTCTGGGATTCATTGCACAGTATTGCTAAAACACTTTAAATGTGACATTTCTTATACAGCTAATAAATATTTTAGATCATAATT